TATATATATATATATATATATATATATATATATATATACATATATAAAATGTATATCAAATGAAACTCTGGAACAAGATATACATTTGCCAGATTTTATTAATGAAGATAGTCCTTCATCAGATGGTATATGTATATATTATATATATACATATACCATCTGATATGTATATATTATATTAATATTCGTTTCCTTAATCAAAAAGGTTTGTTCCACTGTTCATCCCTGTGTTTTCGCATTATCATATACATATATATATATTATCATATATATACATATATATGTATATAAATACATACATATGCATATATATAGGTATATATATGTATATATATAGGTATATATATATATACCTATATATATATATATCTCAAAATATTTAAAGTAAGCCTAACATCTTCCAGTTTTTGTGTGTATATATAATGTGTATGTATATATAATATGTACATAAAGTGTGTGACTTCATAAATTGTACATTATATATACAGTATTCACAAATACATCAGCACTTCTTTTGTGCTAAGGCAACCTATTATTATATACAATATATTAAACAGTATATAAAATTATAGGTGTGTGCGTGTGCATATATATATTTATTTTGTAATACAATAATCGGGTGTAAATATCATATATATAATAGTAATTTTATATAGGCCTATATATACATATATAATGAAATGTAAAATTATGTTCATTCTTTTTATATCTGCTGGGGACAACCCAACCTTCGATCGATAGCGGTAAAGTTGTCGCATTATTTTAGTATAGCAATGGCCTTCTCCCAAATAGTGCAATGCCAATAACATGTGCGATAATAAAACAAATCATATATACTAAATCGATGCGTAATCGGCAAAGGTATACACTGTCTGCCATTTCATGAAGAAACAGGTCATTCATATCATATATACTGTAGGCCAGATATGTGGTAGCAACTGGTAGTTTTTGTTACGGAGGCCGACCAATGACTACTGAATTAATACCAGGGAACAGTTAAATTTTCCTGATTAATACTTAGTTGGTTCAATGTTGGTTTGATATCGAATTTTGCCGCTTCTGTTCCATAATCGGTAGCGTTTCCAGTGTGAAGTTTCCCCCACTAGTCCCGTTTATTTTAAGTGGATATTAGGCTCCTATTTTTTATTCACAAAAGATGGTTGCCCACATTAATTTTCACAACACACATTTGGTATGGCTAGAATTAGGACAAATTAATTCGGTCTAATTGATCTGATGCCAGTGTAGTTGATTATGGAATTTATAGACGTGTTTATTTTGCTTTGAGAAAGATATATTTTCTAACTTTGTAGCCCAAAAAATAAATTTATCGACATTAAAGGTAATTAAGTCAATTGTGATTGAAGGTAAATAGGTACTATACATACGTCACGGGACTCTAACCGCATATTCGTAAAGCGTCGTGTACTAGCCTTTTAATGGTCAGGCGTCATTGCCAGACAGGCTAACTAAGCGCGGTGTCATCAGAAAGACACCAGTTATTAGGATTAGTTCATATAATAATAATAATAATGATAATGATGATGATAATGATGATGATGATGATGATGATGATGATGATGATGATAATGATGATGATGATGATGATGATGATAATGATGATAATAATGATAATAATGATAATGATAATAATAATAATGATAATAATAATAATTAATGATGATAATAATAAATAATAATAATAATAATAATAAAAATAATAATAATAAATAATAATAATAATAAATAATAATAATAATAATAAATAATAATAATAAATAATAATTAAAAAAAATAATGATGATGATGTCACCTCTAGTAGGGGTGCTCGCGTCGCCGTTTTCCACCTGCCGAGTGTACATGTAGCCATTTTCCGCATTATTATGTGAATTAATTAATTTTAATTATTTATTTAATCTTAATGTATATTTATTTGTGTCAGACCAGACATTGATGGGAAAGATAGGCAAAATAAGATGCAAATACTCTTCGGGGTCACCATCCATCACCACCCTGGCGCATTTCCAGACCTCTGTCTAGGTGGCTCGAACAAAGGAACGGGAAACACATTTGCCCTGCCATAGACGACCGGGTGCTCAGGAGTTGTAATCGAGACAGTGGCCCCAAAAAATAAGTGCCGGCCTGTGAGGGACGGGAAAAAAGCAGTTATTGAGTTTATTTAAAATGAGAAAAAAAAGAAAAGATTTAAGTTAAGTTATGATAATGTACCCTGTTTTAGCATTGCTGGGTTAGGCTTAGAATGGGTGGGGGTGGATCATGTGACTTTGCTATATGGTTATCAAAATATCTATCCGTTGTTGACGTCGTGTAGGTGTATTTATCAGCAACAATATCTGCAACTGTAATCATACCAGTATTCGTGCCGATTGCAAATCACAAATTATTACCTAACATTATGTAAAAACAAACACTGCATTTACTAGCCAAATGGTGCATCGTAACGCTAATAGCTAAACAAACATTTAACCTTCGTTCAAAAAATGTTTCAAACACACGTTGTTGATAAAGTAATGTAGGGCCTATGTGATAAAAGAAATTCACAGATACCGATCAAGAAAGTCAGTAGGAACTTGGGTCTCTAATTGAATTTTATATCTTAGCTCATGTCACGCTCAGTTTTAAGAGAAGATATTTGTATCATATATTATTCCAATTTCTGATCATCCATGATAGGAAATAATAATGTATAGTAGTATAAATAGAGACCGCATTAGTCAAAATAAAAAGGAATACAAATTGAAACACACATTGCTAGATGCAAGCTTATAATTTACATAATAATGTAGGCCTATTATATTCGCACTACATTTCTTGATGTGGATTATTTGTAATACTAATAAATAGAACAAAAAAAATACGAAGTTTAATGAATTGAGCTGATACAGAACAGTATTAGTGAGTGTATTGAGGGATTTCTTTATGATTGTTACCGTATTCACTAGTATGAATATATTCCGTCTTGAAACAAGTCAACCTAAGGATACAGTAGCAACATTCATTATTCATTCATATATCAGTGTAGAGATTGGAAGAATAGGTGCAAATGATGAATCAGAATTTATATTAATTATGCATTACGTTCATATGCACAAGATACTGTAATGTATATTGAAAAGAAATTAGGTTTTATATATTAAATTAAACAAAACCGCAACGATATTAACATTAGTATCCACTCCCAATTTTGAATACAGAATACATATAGTCTACCGTATCTAACAAAGATTTTCCCTAATACAGTACTATATTACACTCAACCGCACTTTTAAAAAAATATAGGCCTAATTTTTGTGATTAGCCTATTCTAAGTCGGAACGTTCGATAAATTTAGAAATTTGTCAAATAATCTTCATCTTAATTAAAAATGTAGACTTCAAAAAACTAAAACATTGACATTTAAATGAATGTGATTTTAAAAATAAAACAAAGCAAAGGAATATAATATAAAAATCTGCAATGTCATTTACAAAGACACCTGCTTAGTACCCGCTTTATTTAACCATGGAGGTATAAAATAGTTAACAGATTTTCTTTTTATTGACGTTTTGATGAATTTTTCAAGAATGCAAATGACCTCTGGATTTTACGGGAACGAAACGCAATTTCTATGGACATAAAAGAGAAATTATTTCGGATGAGGTGTTTTTTGGAGATTTGTATAATCGCTATTGGTCGTGTGGCGCACTGAAGCGTTTTTAAGAGGTCAATAATAATTTTGACTTTCACGGTTAACATGATTTTTTTCTATCCCATCTGCGTAGGCCCTGCCTTAACTATAAGGATATGTAGGCAGCTGGAACCCCTTTGGCAGGAGTTTATAAACCGTTAGAAGTGCACGCTCCACCTGCTAAAAACATGGTATTTTTATTTACGCTTCCCAGTTTGATTGTTAATGTTCACGCCTTCCTTGGTTCTGAAAACTGTTCCTGTGTGTTTGTATACTTTAGTGTCCAGAGTCATGTGACTTATGGTATATAAGCTAAGCACGGTTTAATAGTCATCTCAGCTAATCCATTGTCGAAGTTATAACTTAATAATAACCCCATGAACCCCTCCTCTTTGCACACTTACGGCCGTTTGAAACCATTTATTGTGGATAAGACACCGGTTTATCGCGCGTAATTTTAGTTAAGGTATCGTTCTTATATATCATTTTAATTGTAACGATATCAATTAATTTGAATATCATGATGTCATTAATTTTGTTTCATTTCGTGCCAGATTGCTTGATTAATTAAGTAGAGTAGTCGGTTGTGGTTACGCGTGATCGTCTTCGCAGTCGTCATTCCATATTGCCACATCAGTAATTTTGCCGTTTCTGAAAAATGAATTGATAAATCTCATAGTGCTTGACTCAATCAAATCATTGCCAATTTACGGTAGCATTCTATTAAATTAATTGTTAACGAGTTGCGGGTGTTTATCCTTTATTACGATAAATTGATGATGGCTTAATTAGGTTACGGCACTTGAAAAGGCGGCGATTGATTGAACTCCGAAGACAACACAATAACTATCATTATGCATTCCTCAATTACTACAAATAAATCTTTATATTGTGAAATGTATATATATCATATTCACGTACAAGTGAAATCGACACGCGATACATCTCCAATGCATCGGCTTTGGAGGTATCAAGTGGTAAACTTGGATGAGAATCTATCGAGATTTTGTACGGATAATGTGTTCCGATATAGATCGCACATGGTCAATCTAATAGCGCTCATTCGCCAAAAGGACGTAGATTTAATTTAAATTCTCCGCTTTCGCTATTTCGCTGCCAGTGTTTATGGTAGGCCTGTGCATGCCAGTAAACAGGAGATGACAGACATATTTAAAATATCAATGTTTAAAACAACTACCAGTAGTTAACTTACTTTTATCTATTTAATTAGTATGATTTTATATTGCTTGCAATTGAGGCAGTTGCGATGTTTACAATTCTTTCTATTTAAAATGTTTTCATTAAAGTATAATCAGGGAAAATATATGTAGATATCAAACTATTTTCTTTAGGTGGAATAGTAGCCCCCAAGTATTATTAGGCATATTTCCTGTAGGCCTATTGGAGACAGTGCAACCTTTACGAATGACTTCCTTGTATTTTCATTTGTATTGTCAAAATGGATTGTATTTCACGATTGGTTTATAACGATAATAATTTTCAATAGTTATCTATTATTATATGGAATTAGTGTCACTTTTCCTAAAAGTTATTCACAGTTAATCTTCCCGTTCTAAATGCAACAGTAATAGCATGGGATTTGTCAGTGTTGTAACACATATATACCACCTTCACTGTTTATTTTATGTATTAAGTGATCATATAGGCAAACTAAACAAATTAATAGGATAATACGAGTTATTAGTAGTAGCTATTAATCTCCTGAATCGAATTATCCTACTAGAAATTTAATGACCAATGGGGTACGACGGGCCCCTCAATTTAACCTGCATCCAGGAGTCCAATTGAAAATTGTTGCAGATTTGGATGGAAATTGGGCGCATAGTCTCATCATAGACAACGGGGTGTGATTTAAAATTCCATGTCAATCGATCGCGCGAATCATGGACACAGTAGCAACAATCGATTGTGTCCCCTACTAACAAAACATTACAAAGCGAGAAGGTGGGCCGTAGGTGGCTTCAGTCGAAAAATATCGCTCGATATTTCAACAAGTTTTCATTATTATTTTGTCTAGGCACGAGTGGTGCAGCATATTTAAAAACAGGCAATGGAACGACCCTGTAATAATATGAATTATTAAATATTAAGGCCGATGCACGTAGGTAACATTAAGGTAGTTAAATTGCATTTGACTGCGAATCCAGAAGCTGCATTTACTTAAATTATGGCAGGTATACATTGTTGGCCTATGATTACAGCCGTTACCAGTATTGGCTCTCTCTATGGTTAAGTTTGGAGTGCGCCCTCACTAATCATTACGAAAATGCTTTATAAATAATAGTTTAAAAGTGATTAGCAACGGTAATGTTTTTGGTGGTGCACAATACATATTAAGATAATATTTCATTTAATTTGCATTTTACTTTTTAATATTTTCCAACTACATGATACGAATTGGTTTTTTTTCTCTCTCTCTCTTTTGTGGAGGTCATCCCACTTTTATAAATCTTTTTTACTGTTTCTTTTTTACTTAATTTAATGCTCTGGGGCCGCTTAGGCTGCAACTTTCTACAAATGAAATAACATTATTCTTTAGAAAACATATGCAAGTCATACAAAAAATTTTAAGAATAATATCTTGCTGCCATGAAAATACTATTCAATTATCATCACACATTCAAATAAAATAAAATTTTATTTACTTAACCTTGTATTTTTTTTAAACCATATTTACATACTTAAAACTACATAAAACCGAATGAATTGGTTGGGTGGTATTATTCCAGGGTGGTAATATTCCGGGCCAGTGAATAGGGCCTGATTTGAATGTGCCTATAAATGTGACAATGCGTGATAAGAAAAATCAATAGCTTGTTAAAACCCATTGGTGTGTCTTGGTATCACGTGGTTTGTCAATAGATGAGCTCTTAATAGGATAGTAGGCAACTCTTAATCATCTTCTATTGTTATGCATATTTCGTCCCCCACTATTCACTTTCGCTTTAAGAAAAGTTGGAAACCCCATTTGCCAACTTAATTGAACATTGGGCAGGGAAGAGTTCAGATCGAAATTTTTGGCCGAAGTAACCTAAATTTAAATCTTGATCAATATTTTGTTTCAGATATTTATAGGATAGAACAATCGAAATTGGAACGTCTTGAAATGGCTTACACAATCCCGTCACTACCAACGCCAATTAAATCGGAGTTCATTAAATCACCGTATTCAGTAAATGGGATCAGTTTGTCTAATGGCGAATCCATCCATCCATTAGCTATGGGTTACCCATCAATGAATGGTAAGTTTTATATAAAACATTTATTACGTGTTATTAAAAAGCGCATACACTATGTTATTTATCGACAATGTTTGCTTAAACTGTGTCTAATGCTACAATAGTGTCCGGCTTCCAACTCTTGGAATAACACACTTGACGGTCAGACGAGCGTATGCAGAAAGCTTAGGCCTACACTATCTAAAGTCGGGTCAAACGTTGTTGAGAGAGTAACAAATAGAATTCTGTCAAGATTAATGGAACTTCAAACAGAAATCTATAGCATTCAAATTTGTGTATTTATATATTTTTTTTCATATATTTTCATGGACGGTTTTTACAGACTAACAAACTTTATTTAAACCAAATGAAAATTTTCGATTTAGAGAGCTCCTTGGTGAAACAAACTATCCAGTTTAGCGCTGTAAAGTCCAACACGGTTACCCACCTTAGAATTCGAATTGATCAATCAAATAATAAAACAATTTTATTGGAACTTGGGAGCCTCCTCCGTCGTTATTCGCGTTCATTCACCTCAATTTGACTCGATATTGTTCTACCAAAATAAAAGAAATTAATTATTGATACTCCAACTTGGCATAAATAACTTGTCAGAAGTTTCGTTTTCCTCGAATAGAGAGCGCACAATCGTCGAAAAAATGCACAAGGGTGTGTAATGTATGGTATGGGTGTGAATGAATTATCCAGTACAGACGCTATTGTCTTGGATGATTCATACTGATGCAATGTCGATCAATTTGTATTTCGCAGTATAAAATAGCACTGATAATTAACAAAAAAAAACACCAATAAAAAAACTTTTCTAGGTGAAAAAAAAAAATACGTTGGCCTAGATATGTCAAAACTCTATACTAATGGTATAGGAGAAACTGAAGGTAAAATGTATTATTAAAAAAAATGTATTTGATTTATTTTGTATTGTAATGAATTTTATAATTTTAGTAGGCCAAATTTGTTCTCCTACAGGAACTCAAAGAAAGCAGAGACGAGAGCGAACAACATTTACCCGAGCTCAATTAGATGTACTTGAAAATTTATTCTCAAAAACTAGGTATCCAGATATCTTTATGAGGGAAGAAGTCGCATTAAAGATCAGTTTACCGGAATCTAGAGTACAGGTACGTTGATGCTTCTGGTTACATTATATAGGCCCTCAATATACATAATTAAACAACCAAATATCTTACACTTGATAATATATTGTATAAGCATTCGATTTCAAATCTACAATTGTAAGAGGCGCAAATTAAAAGGAAAAAACTTGATCGATTTTTTGTGAGTGCGGGTGATGTAGAGAATTGAACTAGTAAATCAAGCTAATTATTTCGACCACTTGGCACTGCTAATTAGACAAACAATAGCTATTGTTGTTTTATCTGTCTTGTCGGCTTAAGAGTATTTTAACATTTTAAAAGACTTGGGAAAACCAATTACTCATAGGTTTTGTGAAAAGCAACTTTAGTATTTAATCTCGTTTAGTTTCTTGTAAACATTTTCTCTTGATTTTACAAAAGTTTCTTTCGGTCGAACCAGATGATTTCTAGTTTCCTAATTGAAATACAACAAATTTTGTAATTATACAAATAGGCCTATGTGTTACCAAATTGTAAACCACAGGTATGAAGTGCGCCCCGACGACAATATTGTTTCGGCCTTTGGTTTTATTACGGCCCGGCGCAGACCATCAGTAAAACATAATCAATAAAGAATAATACAATAATAATTAAATGTAATACAATACATGTCATAAAGTTGCAAAATAACACATATAAATGTCAATGTTCACTTTGGCCCTCTGACTGACCAGTTTTTATGCCCACCCAAACCGTGTGAAAATGAACTAGCAATGAGGTGTTGACTTGTCAGATACTTTTTCAAGTGCGTCAACATAGAAATGTTTGCATGGCTTTTAACACCACATACATGATCTACAGTATTACGTAATATGTGATGAACTGCTTAACATAACTTATGAACACTTCAAAAGCCAAATGTCACAATAAAAAGTGACTTAATTCATCGTCAACACCTTATTCAAGATACTAGAAGGCGTTATTCCTTATCTTTTGTTTGGCACACAATTGAATACTGTACCAAATTCTTCAGATATACCGCACTGCAACTCTAAAATATTAAGAAACCATCAAAAGTTAAATTTCCAATTTGTTCATTCAACATAATCACATAAGTATCCTACTTTCAATAATGGTTTTTAAAAGTTGTACTGGAAAAAAAGGAAAGAAATTTAGCATAGGCTATAAAAATAAGGACTAGGCCTATATGGTTGAAAAAAAAAATATTATGTAAATGAACGATTTTTATGATTTAATCATGTACGGTAATATTTAAGCGTCACATTTGTTGAATGTTGTTCCGTTTATGTTTCCTTAGTAAAAAATGTTTTTTTTTCTAACTTCAATATTTTCCCCCAAAGGTATGGTTCAAGAACAGACGCGCCAAATGTAGACAACAGCAACAACAGCAACAAAACGGTGGTCAGACCAAGCCGAGGCCAGCCAAAAAGAAGTCACCGACTAGAGAAACTCCAACAAGTGATGGCTACAAATCGCCCGTGACAACGATGCCAAACAATAATAGCATTTGGAGCCCAGCCTCAATTCCAGTAACTCCAATGCCAATGAGTGAAACGGCCCTAGTAAATAGTAACAGTTGTATGCATCCTTCTTATATGGCCAGTAGCCAGCCGACTGGTTACCAACAAAACTATCAAAGCTCGCCATTCTATGGCAGCATCGATTATCTTTCAGCAATGCCACAGTACGGAGGCGCTTCACTCAATCACATGAATCAAATGAGCCATTCGATGACAAACAATCATATGGTTACCACGCCCTCACAGCTACCACCTCCACCTTCCATGAGCAATATGGCAGCAGCGCAAATGGGTATGTCACCACCAATAGATTGTCATGATGAAAAGAATGAATCTCTTTGGAAATATCAAGTATTGTGAAAATATTCCGAAATGACTGTCAATTAACACCGGTTGATAAAACTATCTTTACGCGGGTATCTGTCGAATGCGAATAACTATACATGAATCCGACGGCATTATTAAGTCTACCAAACCCGCAATCTTTCACTCAACGTATTTACGGTACGCTATACGACTGTGCAATCAAAATAGATGAGGAACGTAGGCGAATCATGTTGACTACAATTTCCAACGGGTACAACTCCAACAGGAAGATCTTGTTGAATTCGTCGGAGAACATTGTCATAAATTAGTCCTACGGGTTTTTGTTTGACGGGATTTGTTTTCATTTAATCTGAACAAATTATTTGCTATACATTTTTTTTGGTACAAATAAAGCATTCTGAAACTTATGGTTGCGGCTGCGATTCTTGTTGATTGTGGTATTCTGAATGACTAAAGTTTAGAATCTGAATCCTTTGATCTTAAGCTCTTTCCACACTATCAAATTTTCTTTGACAAAAAATTGTTGTATGCCCATATGTGGTCATGATGTGCCTTTATGTGGTCATGATGTGATGTCATCATGACCATATTTAGGCATGTCACATTTTTTTTTCAAATATAATTTCATAGTCTGAACAGGGCCTTAAGCGGACATAAAAACTCAGTATGTGCTGGTAGTATAATAAATATAATAATAATTATGCTATTATAATGAATGTCGAGAGACTTCAGAAAACTATGAGCCAAAGAGGACAAGAGAATTTCGTTTTAAGTCTTTCAACTTATCAAATTCAGTTGTGTAAATTGTATAAATGTAAAAAAATTGTTTGACCCTGATTTAAATAAAAAATATGTCGTTTTTTTAAATTATTTTTTTGACGGTCCAACTGTCATTGACAATCGGTCTGCAGGAACTTTCAAAATTCAGGTGAAATGTTAAGAAACAGAAAAATAAATCCTTGAACAGTGCAAGCCTTGCTTTAAAAGTTCTGAGCTCGGGATTTATTATAAGAAATCTCAAGATATACACGTTTTCCCTAGTAATTATGTTTTTAGATGTTCCAACAATATTTATTGCCATTCAGATTAAATTCATGTATTATGGTTATCATAGTTCAGATTAAATTCATGTATTATGGTTATCATAGTTTTAGAAAAGTTTAGATAGTTAACCTTTATTATCCAGATTTTTTTTTTGTTCACTCAAATAATTACAAAGTACAATTCTAGAATAAATAATTAATTTTCAGATTTAATAATGGCCTCGTTTGTGTTTGTATGTGTGTATCCAACGTACATACCATGGAATACAATTCCAAAAATAATGGTGTTTTTATACTCAAAAACCAGGCCTATCCAAAGTTGCTTTTTCTTATTTTATGAATTGTAAGTACTAAGGACATTTTTCTTTTGTATTTCATCTTACACGCGGTTTCCTTGTCTACCTAATAAATGAAATGATTTATGAAATATCTTGCAAGTTGTCGTTTCCTTAAAATTTTGTTTAATAAGAGTTGCCTATATACTAATGTCAAATTGTTGATCGTAGTCACTAAATAGAACAAAGCCTACTACTGCATTTAAATTTCCCACACAAGCCAGAATTTTGTCTTGCACTCACATTTTTTTAAAAGCCGGTACGTCTAAATATTTCATCTATTGGACAAATTAGCAAGACTAAAAGAATTCTATACTAGATAGGCATAAGCGGCGAGATCACTCACGAGCGCTTACGAGAACTGCATATTTTGAGTGCAGGCTTAGGTTACTCACTATTTATTGCGCTTAGTGTGCGGCCATACCTAATGTGATTGGCGTCCCATACTCGATTTCATTTATTCCGTCTCTAAATAGTCTCTAAATTAACTTTCTCGTTGGTGGCGCTGTCCAGAATGAGAATAAAAATATTAAGGGACTTGCAGCAAGTCTAGTGCAAGCTCAGTATTTCGGACCACAAACCACACTGAAATGCAGAGTGTTAAACGTGTTTATGTTTTTAAAAATTATAGTATTGTAATTGTAGTATTGCAAGTTTCTGTCAAAAAAAATACAGGCCCGGATCAATAGCCTCGCCAGCACGGGTCAATTTGACTAGGCTTATTGCCGTAGTCATTGTCATTGCTGGATAAACGATCATTATATGATAATTAAGATATAATGTACAATGCGTAAAATATAGTTAATTCCAAAACAAAGTCGGCATGCAATAAAGGATAGTTTAGGAACAGATAAACAGTGATAAGATTATACAACGGATGTGTTAATGATAGGGTTGTGAGAAGCGTCACTGTTTTAAAACTAAAGTATATTCATATAGGCCTAAATAATTTGTACCAATAGTAGTAAATATGTATGAACATTTTAGGTGCAATATAATAAATAAAATATAATAAAACAATCAACTATAGGCCCTATGTAGTCTACAAAAATAATCTGAAAAAATATCATCAAACATTATGTAGACTAGATGATTCACTTAAGTTCAAACAGGGGCATAGTGGAGAGGAAATCATTGGGCATTATTGGGAGGAAGAACTGGAACAGAGGGAATCTGCATCTTCAGCCATCAAAATTAAAGGAACATTACGACATTGTTTGTGTAAACATCACGCCTACATCTTAAATAATCACATGATTGTTCATGAAACACAATGCATTAGGCTTAGTCAATATTATTATAATATATCATCGTTACCACCGCCACTACCGTCATCATCATGCGGATACAATACTGGTGCTGTCTC